TCCGGGGAAATTAACGCTTTGACTGAGCAAGATGTTTATATACGCCGGTGGCCGCTTTAGCGCCGAAGTATAGTATTTTTGAATTTAATACATTGTTATTGTATGAGGGGGGGACATAATAGAAATTATGATAGAATTTTGGCTCACAAGTTTTGAAAGTTTAAGAAGCACACTGATAAAAAAACTCTTATAAAAAAAACAAAAGCAAAAATAATAGAACTGAGAACAAACAATGTACTCTGATTTTCATTTATTTTTAAAACCCCATTTCTAGGATTTTCACGCTAACTTTGGATAACATGTCAGAAACCAGTTATTAAAACAACCTCATTTAAGGAGAAAAAACAAATAATCCTGCTGCTTAAGATGAGGTGTCAGTGAAGTGGATTGATTCCAAAGAGATATCGTTGTAACGAAAACGTTATCCTTTGCACTGTTACAGTGATCGTTATAGTGGAACGTAACTTTGCTGATTTCCATTCTAACGGTGCCAATATAAAAATGCATATTCACGCAACTGTTTTACTTTTTTGGTGAAATAAACAAAATGATTTAAAGAACCTGATTAATGTAATGATTAGTTGACTAGTTGAGGTAACATTTTTTTGAAATATTGCTGAAAATTCATCTTTAAACTCATTTTTTGTTTAAGTATAACTGAAAACTTATAAAAATAACAAAAAAAAAATTTTTTTCAATATATTTTTGTAAGAAAATGAAGATAGGTTAAAATTAGGCATTTTTTGCACATCACGGCAAACACTGTAAAATAAATTCTAACGCATAAAATAAAAAAAAAGCTCGTAGAATTTTTTTTCAGAAAACAGTTACTTATGTATTGATTTATGAACAATTTCAATTTATCACCAAATTAAGGGTCAAAAAGTGCACAAAATGAAAAAATTTTCAAACATTTTGCATTTATCACAAAGATAAACAATCATAAAAAGGTTAAATGTTTTGTTTTTTCTTAATCTATCATACACAACATGTATATTAGAATAATAAACAATGATGCAAAATTTCAGGCAATTATCACAAGAAATGTTTAAGATACCATGTTTGCCGTGCGATGAAATATGGAAAAATCTGTTTGGGAGAAAAGCGCATTTAAGCTAGAGTTTCTCAAACTTTCAATATTTGCGACCCAATTTCCAGTCATAATTTTCATCGCGCCCCCCTCATACAACAACTATATATTGAATGCAATAATAATGTACTTTGACGCTAAATCTACAATACGACTTTAAATATAAACTGCACAAATTATCGAGATAAATATTATATTTTGTGGCCATGAAAACAATAGTAATTACTAAACTTGTTTTTAATTTAGTATTGATAAATTAATTATCATATACATTGCGCATTACTGATACATTTATAAGTCTCTTATATCAGTATGGATATATGTATTTTATTTCTTATTATGCCAGATGCATTTTGTTTTACTTCCTTTCAGTAAATCAATAATTATTTTAAATCTTTTATTTTTGACTTTTTGATGTGCTCGCATCCGTCATGTAGGGCTACCACGCCCCACCATGTGGCCCCACAGTATGAGAAACGTTGATTCTCAATTCCGATTTCAATTTCTAGAAAAAAGCAAAATTCGATTATTTAAAAGATTATTATTGAACACAGCAAAGTTGATTCTCAACCAATAATAAGCACCATAACGATTATTTTAACTATTGTTTACTTGTATTTCATTTTTTCGCCGAAATCCTGTAAAAGAAATATGAACTTAGTATTCTCCATAACTTCATAAATAATTGTTGCACTTAAGATTAGTTAGTATTCAGAGAGTGAAATACAAATGAAGAAATCGTGTTTTGACGCACGAAAACTCGAGTAACTTCTTCCTTTGAGCCTGAGGGGCATTGCTAACTAACAAATTAATGTCTCTAGACTCGGAACGATGCATAAAGTAATGTTCTAATTTATATATGTTATCATTTATTATAAATGCAATTGCTTACTCGGAATTTAATTTTCTTAATTTCACCAGAAGGCCCATAATTCTGTACAAATTCACAGAGCTCCTCATATTTCTTTCAGTTATTATTTTGAGAGAGATTTGGCTTCGAGATGAGACAAATTTTGTTTTAATCTAAATTATTCAAATAAAACTTTGGAAACTAAAAGTTAATTGATGATTAGAGAATACACAACAACTTCCCCGACTTAACATCTCGGATATATTATAGTGTAACGAGAAAGCAAATATAAAAAGAGAAAATTTATGTAATTAATAGAGAAAAAATGAGAATTACTGTGATAAACATCAAGAATTTTTTTATTAATGTCATTATAGTATAATGTAACATGTTAATAAATCTGTGGTAACATTTTATTTGTATTTTCAATGCAGAATGTACATATATACACACACACACACACACACATATATATATTTAAGAAATTAATTTAAATCAGATTGCCTGAAACAGATTAAGGTAGTTTGGATAAAAATTTATTATATCGTCGGCCTAATTATCAGACTGCGTAACTCCACCAGCGTTACTGATTTAATATAGGAGTGAAATGCGCCAAGCGCTTTTTGGCGCGATTCCTTAATTATTTTGTTTTGTCTACGCCATGCCTCAGTACATTCCGCACTACTTTTTTTTATTTCAAAATAAAACTAGATTTCGAAGGGAGAGGTGGTGGCAAGATTTTAACATAAAATAAATACAACAGAAAATAATATTAATGTATTACACTTCCAGATGTAAATTATTTACACTATTTTAAGCGTTCATTACACAAAATTTGTAGCAATGTGTTACTTTTGCTGAGCAGAGATCCCGAGGGGAAAAAAAATAACACTAATATACGTTATCCCCATGGCAACCCAATCATCATAATATAAAAATATCAAAGTAAACCATATTGTAATATTATCGCCTATCTTGGCGAACGTAAACAACAACTTGGCGCCTAGCCCTACTGTATCAAATAAGCATCCCAGATGGAGTTACGCAGTTTGATAATTAGACCGACGATATGATTTAATAAAACTTGATTTTTTTTCAAACAAGACAATATAATCAATGCACCGAAAATAAACCCCAAAATATTACCTGTATAGCTGTTTTCAAACAATGTATGAATTTAAATTAGATAGATAGATACTTACTAGCTTGTCCACTCTGAAACACACAAGCTTATATTCTATTCATAATAACTACCGTTGTAACATGCTATATTCTTGTAATTGTCACCTAATGACCGTATTAAAGGTAACATATTTATGTTTTTTATTACATTATTATCTAAAATTGTATAAGTATTTTAGTCATATCATTAATATCAATATAATGTGGAACAGGTCCTTAAAATTTAAACTACAGCTTGAATTATATACATGTGTTAATATATGTGTATAAGTACGTGTTTCTGGTAACTTTCCTAAACAAAGCTATTTACTGACGTATCACATTCCAGCATTTTTCACAAATTTTTAATAATGTGGTGTTCCCCAAAAGGTCTTTTGTGTTTCACTAAAATATTTTTATGAAAAAAAGTTAGGTATCATTGTTTCATGACTTCT